GGGGGGAAAAAAAAAACATATCTCGAGTGATTTGACTTTGACCGAGTTTCAAATTTCTTCTTACCTCTATGCAAGATTACTATTACGTGTGCAATTCGCGTGAATATCAGTACTTTAATTCGTGAAAATTTCGTCGAATGCACGACCATGTTCCAGTGGAAATTAACAACTAAAAGTAAATTCCATCCAGAGTAAAAAAAAAAAAGTGTAAATTCCATTAAAAGTAAAAGAAGTAGAAAATTTGTATAATACAAGCTTCTATCTTGTGTATTTTCACGAAAGAATCATTCACGTCTCTAAAAATACACTGTCTTATACATTTATATCTAACAATAATAAATAAAATATCTGACAAGAATTGGTCATTTTGATCATTTTGATAGTTGACGAGTATTCATTGACGCCCGGTGTACAAAATTACAAGTCGGTTTCAGTGTTTAAATACAGTAGGTGTCGTACGAATGGCGCACGAAATGTCCCCAAATTTCACGCTGACGCTGATAAATCAGAAAGAACGTTGAAACACAATGTGTCCGCGTCTTTGGGGAGGGAACATGGTTGGAGAACATTTAAAATCGCATAAACGCGTCCGTGCGCGCGCTTTGCCCGTGTACCAGCAAGAATTAAGGGAGGTAGGAGTGATAGGTAGCGGTGGCACGAGTCGACACGTGGCAGTGCCGTTTTGTACAAACAGCATTATGCACGCTCGTGCTAACATAAATTACTGCGGGTTTAATATCGGATGTCGACGTTGGCCATGGCCGACCACCTCCTGAGCAAAACACGTTAAATGCGGCCAGCCAGATCTCACACTGTCACGAAACGCCGGCTTCTTTCGAGCCTTTCTGATCGCAGGTGTCGACGACATTATCGTCCCATGCGCTGACCAATAGTTTTTCCATTAAAATCCTCTAAATTTTCATACCCTGACTCGCGCAAATATCTGGAAAATTCGTTGGATATTCCTCAGCATTATCGTCGTACTGAATTTTATCGAGATTTTTTTTCTATTTCGAAAGGAAATGTGAAATGTGGAACGTACTGATTTAAAGATTTTTAACCCTAACTCCAAGCTATTTTTCAATTATCTTTTGCTTTTTTTCTTTTTTTTTTTTTTTTTGACAATTTAAAAATATCGACTGCGACTCAACGTAACAAATTTTCTTCGATCTACCAGTTTTCGAATTTTTGCATCTCTAGATTCGAGTCTCTGCGTTTTTAAATCCTTGAAGTACGACAGAGGTAATTAACAAATGGTCTCCACATTGCCAAAGTCGTCGAACGTCTTCTTTCACTCTTCTTAAAATACGACAGAGATAATTTACAAATGGTAAATCTCCACATTTTCGAAGTCTTCTTTCACGATCCGGCCTATTAAGGATCAGCATCCGGTTTCGAAAGATCAGAAAGACGCGTCTGGCGTCGGGGAGCGGTGTCAGCCATCCTCGAAACATTTCATTCCGATGGAATTTCGATTCCGATCCAGATCCATTGATAAACGGGCGGCTTTAATTCATGCAGAGCGGTCTGCATTCCGTCATTCTCCGCAGGGTGTCCACTTATCGAGGCCGTTTCATTCCCTTCTTTCGTTCATTCTCGCCTTCACAGTCGCTCAGGCTGCTTTCCAAGGGCGTCTCGTAAGGCTCCCCAAAGTCGCTTACAAGCTCTTTCACGCTCAGCAGCCGTGAAAGAGCTTATTGTGAAATTTAACCGAGATTTTCCACGAATGCCGCCATTCATACACGACCGCTTTCCTGTCTTCGTTTATATTCAACCAGTCAGCTGTTTGTGAACCCGCGAAACACGATCCACTGAATATTTAAGTTCTTCCTTCCTTCCGTTTCTGCGAGGATACGCTTTCGTATGAATTATTTGCAACAACTCGCGATTGTACTCCCTGTAGAATCTCCTTTCCTACAAAATCCAGCGTTCAAATAATGTTCAAATTATCGCAAGTCAAGTACACATACATAATATAGCTCAAAAAAATATTGATGAAGGTGTAAAATTAATTGTACCTTTATTAATATAAATTAATCGTCTGTTAGTTTGAATGTAAATTAAATTAATTAAATTAAATAATCCTTCAACCTTGCTGTTTACACGTTTCTTCCTTACTATTCCCTGAACACTATTCCCCGCTACTGAAAACATCATAAATTGGCTGGTCGTCCTTCGAATTGCCATTGCACGTGAAACAACGCGATCGAACAGCTACGTGTATACGTAAACGTTACCGTGTGGTCTCCCTCGGTGAAAAGTTAGCAACGGGTGATATCTCTCTTTGTGATGAACAATGTTCAAACCATCGCAAGTCAAACAAAATTAGACGACTCGAAAACTTGTAGATTAGAGAATTTCCTGACTTGGGAATGAATACGTTCGCAAAGAATACGTTTTTTTTCCTTAATTACACCAACTTAATTTCACAGCATAGTTCACTCTGTTTTACATATTACTTCAAAGTGTAACTAATTTCACGATGTAACGCGCGACGTGTAATAAGTAAAAGTTTCTTTTATATCCGCCGTGTTTCGCTACAAACACGGCGACGTTTATAGTTACAGGCGGTGTAGCGATGGCGGAAGTGACTTTTATTAGAAATCCCTACCCTCTGCCGGATGTAGTGCGCGAAGGAGTGTGGCTACGAGAACCTGTACTAGGTAGTAAAGTTTCGCCGAAGGATAGAGACTGGAGTGCCAAGTTGAAGGCCCACGAACGTCTGTTCGCGCATCACACGCTAAACAGTATACGCAGAGATAATAGACTTCAGAGATCACAGGTGAAACGTACATGCACACGTTAACCTAAAAGAAAAGAAAAAAAAAACTTCTGTTATTATTTTCGATATTTCACCGCGTAATTTTAACAATTAACACTGACTTACGACTGATTTGAGAGATGCATAATCTTACGAATTGCAAATTACAGAACTCTCTGCTAAATTTTACGAGCGTTGCAGGTACCAGAGGACGCTCTAGATCTGGCTCTTACGACTGTATACGTTCACAGCAGAGATACACTGGTGCCGAAAAGCTACGTGCCGGTGCAGCCAGAAACTTTAGGACAGAGGACGTGGCGTGTTTTAAAGAATCAAATCGAGGTAAAAGCAGTGTCCACTTTGATCAATACATTTTTCCTCTCCTTCCTCCGCGCGGAAAGACGCGCATCTTCCTCGACGAATTAATTTAAAGATCATTTGGTGTTGGTTTCCGGTTGATTCAGGTTTACAAGACGCCGGACATTCCGGTGGGGAAAGATCCGATTTCGTTGCTTCTGAAGAGAGCGGAGTGTTATCACGGACCGGTGCCGGAGAGACGGGTCCATCCGAGTAGCGTGAAATTAAATATCTCCGGACCTCACTCGGTTCAATCTAATCCCGGATACAGTCGCAAAATCGACGGAACTTTTTACAATATTTAAAGAGTATTTAAACACGGATCTGCATGGTGTTTGAGATGAAAACCTGGCAGAGAGAGAGAAAGAGAGCTGTGCTAACAGCCGTATTTGAGGAAATTAAATCAACGATTTTATGATTATTATCCGCACTCGTCAGTCGCTTCTGTGTGTTTATGAATACGCTGTCATTCTACCGCAATTCCCCTCTCGTTCGTGCTCGATTAGCAAAGTGCTTCGTTTAATAGTTTATTCTGTACAATTTTACCACTGGAGGAGTAAAAATTTCGAAAAGCAATCGCACAATGTAACATTTTCCATTTAGCATTGTTTTGAGCCACTTATTTTATATATGTGCTGTTTTGTTAAATGCAACGATGCAATAAAGAATTGCAAAATTTGATAGACATCGTGAACAAAGATTTCTAACGTAGCGACAGCTCCTATTTCTTCCCTTTAAATTATTTATTTAATACACAGCACATGCACATTGATACTGTGCAATTCTATCAAAATTCTTACATAGTAGCAATCACTCTCTTAATCACACTAGAACTACCAAAATGGTCGAAATGGTCAATTTACAATTTTTCAGAGTAATTGCAGTGTAGTTGCGTTTTTTTTTTTTTTTTAAATTAGAATAATCGTTGTAAAATATCTGAATTATCGTATTATAAACCTTCTCCTATTTCCAATTTCCTTGACTCAATATTTATGCTTTGATGCTCGGTAGTTCCAGTTATATTAATCAAGACATCCCCAAGGCCGATGGTATCTCTTCCGAACGTTGTCGGCAAATTTGTTCGCTAGATGTCTCGCCGCGACATTGTGACATGGTATCTCGGGAATCTTGGCAGCGATCTGCTTCGCCCCTTTATAGACGTCGCTGTGGCAAGAAGCGAAAGCGTGAGTCAGTGCACGATGCGTTCTCACTGTTCGAGCAACCAAAGGGACAGAATGTCCCATTACCCGGGTAATCCTTGTTTGTAATAAACCAGCACCCTGCTGCCAGGGGGTGGCGGAGGTGGAGTCATCTCCGTACGCATATGCTCCTCATGGAATATCATTTATGTTTCGCCCCGTGCACGGACGTTCTATCTTGGCCCCCGCGTTTGACCTGTCCAACCCCTGTGGCACCCTCTTCCAGCACGCAGCAACTACCCACCCTCCCAACCTCTGTCCTTATACATACGCCTAATCCGGCCATGATTGTCGCGACGACCGCCTCGTCACGAGAACTCCTCCTCGACCCGTGCACCCTTTCTCTCTCTCTCTCTTTCTGTTTTCTTTTCTTCTCTTTCTTTATTTGGTTTCTACCAGCATCCTACCAGCTCGACCCCGTTGTCTTTTTAACGACATTGGCTGGCGAATTGAAGGGAAACGAACCGCGAGGTTATTATTTCTCGCCAGAGACGGCGAGACACTTCGTCCACTGGAATTGGTGATCCACTGTGAAGTTTTGAGGGTAAGTAAAGTGGAAAAGGTTTGCAGTTGTTCAAAGATATTGCTATCATATCGGTGAAGAAATTGAAGGATTGTAACATTGAAATTGTCAATGGTACAGATTGACTTACGCGAAATCAAGCTAAATTTGATTTAGAATCTTGTATAAATTTCGCGAGGAAATTTATAGAAAAAAAAGATATATCTTTCTGTTGGGTAAGCGTGGCTTGCACGCTTGAGTAAACATTATTCGTCCACGACGAATCAAATAACTCCCCCTGTAGATTACATCACGTCGAATGTCTATCGACGTGGATCCTTTTTCTTTCTCGATTAGGGTAGCGTCGAGAAAGTGGCAAGAATAAGGGTGGAGCGATCAGAGACGGTGGTGGGTAACGAGCGAGGTAACCAGCCAATTACTTGGCTGAACGGTTTTATTTGTATTTAATTCTTATTTAATTTACTTTTTACGGCTGCCTTCGTCGGCTTCTCTCCTGTTAACGAAATGGAAGATTCTCTTCGTCGTTGAAAATTCACAGAACCGTATCGTGGCTGCATCGAAAAAGTAATTAATTTTAACGAATGTAATAAATTGTCTGAACGAATGAATTGCCCGTCGCTCGGATAATTTTCAGTTTACGAACATCTTAGGGAACGATCGATCGAAATCTCGCCAAGATTCGACAAGTTTGTGCGGAAAATTTAACGAACAGTGGGTAATCAGGTATACCTGTTGGCGTAGTAAGAAAAGAATGGCGGCAGAAGTAAATTGGAAATGATTCTATACGAATAAAACTATATCTAGTGAAAATATGAATTTCCATGAATATCTGCAGCCTAGCGTAAATGTTGAATGCTGCGATCATTGAACGTGTGTTGACGAATGAGTGGCTACAGAAACAATGATCGATTTGCTATCTTGCCAATTCCTGCGCGCATACGTTTACTCGAAAGGAAATTCCGCGTAAAAGTCGCAGCAAAGTCTCATTGATCCCTGCGGGATGAAGCTGTTATTCCAGTGAACTTGTTACG